AAAAAAACCCCCCCCCCAAAAAAAAAAAAAAAAGACCCAAAAAAAAACTCCACCCGTGCCCAAACCCTAAACCCTTAACCGGGCCAAACCCTAGCCCCGCAACCCGAAACCCTAAACCCCCCTCCCCTGCAACAGTGCCCCCGCTGGGCCTCTTCTGCGGTTTGAGGGTGTGTGGTTTGAGAGCTGAGGATTTGGGGTTTATGGGTTATGGGTTTAGGGTTTGGGTTTTTTGTTTTGAAGAGCCTTGTCTGCATGGTGAAAACTTCAGCATCCAGTACCTCAAGCCCTGCACTTCCTGGTTCATACTCGACAAGTCAGGGCATAAGGTATCTCATATCCCCCTACATATTGCCTGTTCAAGGAGTACATAGTGTGCTTAACTCCTACCCTTCTGTTTCCGGGCATGCGCAAAGGTCGTCCATAGTGACCTGAGCAGCCCCTTCTTTGTACCTTGAGATGCGGCTCCTTCGCAGACCGGCTTTGTGGTGTAGCAAAGTGCTGTACATCGCTGGTTCCGAAAGCTGTGAAACTCAACACTGAACCCTGCAAGACCTAAACCCATACTCAAGCCCTACTTTGGGGTTACATCCTAAACCATCGAAGCCCAAACCTTCCTCCCAAGTATCTTGATTCATACCAGCCTTCTGACCATGAGCAGCTTGTACATTCCAGAAAGTTGCAAGGCGCAGCTACGTCAGGCTTTTGAAGTGGGAAGCTCAATCCAGAATGTCCAATCCCCATACCTCTCTCCAGCCAGAATCTCCAATCCCTACACTTCCCTCCCTTCCTCCCCCCCCAAACCCTGAAGCCCAAATTCCTGAAAGACCCCAAAGAACCCAACAACCCCTAACGCTCTGAAGGCCTGAAGGCCTCAGCCGTCGCACACAACCCGACGCCGGAGCTTTGCCTGCGGCAGTTGCCAGGCGTTCTCGGATCGCGTTGAGGAGTTTCGTGAGCGAGATGCCGAGGCTGGCCAGCGAGGCAAACCCTAAGCCCTAAACCCTAAACCCTAAACCCCAAACCCTAAACCCTAACCCTAAATAGGCTTTGCAAGGTTCAGGGTTCAAGGTTAGTCAAAGGGCTTGCTGATGCAAGGTCTGAGAGCTTTGGGCGTTCCAGGGTTTGCTTTTAGGGTTTGTTTTGCGGATTTCGGAATGGCCTCTGGCCCTGAAGGCAGATAAGGTTTCCGGATTTAGGGCTTATAGGGCTCGGTTCGTGCTAAAAAAGGTTCAGCTCGTAATTTAACCTGAAGTTCTTGCGGGGGTGGCTTCCACTTAGTGTACGGCCTTGGAAGCTTAGCCTGAAGTGCTAGGCCTGTTCTCCAAGCCTCCGAGCCCTCGCACTGCGTTTAGGATTCTTGTGCCCGAAGCCCTCAATCCTAAATCTTACACGAGATGTGGTGCAGTGTAGTCTATCGCAAACTGGGCTCAGAACTTAGCTCAACCAACATGTCCTAGTTTCCCCCTCAACCCCCTAAAGCCACCCACACTCCTAATCCCACCCCTGAACCCAAAACCCCAAAACCCCACGAAACCCCCCAAGCCGTAAGCCCTAACCCTAAGCGCGACGAGGGTGGCCCTGCAACCATGGTCCCCGTGGCCCCGAAGCACAAAGCGCCCTCAATCCGCACCCTGCATGACGCCCTAACACCACACTACCCGAGCACCCCAAACCCTAAGCCCGAAACTTCCTCAGGAAGCCCCGATGTTCTGCGGCTGCGCTTCTGCGATGCTCGCCTCATCCTGCGCCCCGAGTCCCTGTTCAAAAGCCGCTCGCCGACGCGCTCCCTCCCTTACCCCCCCCTCTCCCTAGGGAAAAATCAAACTTTAAGATGTGTCAGGAAGTAGGATTTGTTTGAACACCCTTCAAACTAGAGACCTTCTAGGTATTCCATTTCCTCGTCCCCTTTCCCAGGCCCTTTCTTATGGAAGGGCTTCTAAACTAAGATTACTGCAGCAGCAGGACGAGGTCAGGGATCTAGTTTCCGTTCGTACTTACAGGTGCGCACGAAGGACCCTGAGACGAGAACGAGCCTGCCTCGCGTCGATCACGGAAAATGGCAAAGGGCTTCTGCGCCTGAAGCCCTAAACCCCTGAACCCCTAAACCCTGAACCCTTACCGGCCCTCAAAGTTGCCTCTTGTTGCAGGTGGGATCTCACACAACCCCAAAATTAGCCCAGCTCGGGGTTTCATGTTCCTGAACACATCCCTTTATGGAACCCTATCAGCCCGGAAAGCCCGGCATTGGTGGAGTGAGCGCGTGTCACCTGCGCTTATCCTCTTGCGATGAAAGTGGCAGAGTAGGCCCTCATAGCACCTCATTAAGAGTTTCGTAACCTTCAAGCCCCCAACGCGATAAAGTTAATCATTCACGCAGCTCCGCACTGATCGTTCTTTATTGACCGGAGTAGAGCCCCCGAGTGCTCAAGCACTCAGAGATTCTTACAATGCTGCACGCGCATATATATATATAGTATATATATATATATATGCTGCATGCGTAGGATATATATATATATAAGGTATATATAGAGAGTATATAGAGTATATATAGTATATATAGTATATATAGTATATATAGTATATATAGTATTTATAGTATTTATAGTATATACTATATATATATAGTATATATAGTATATATAGTATATATAGTATATATAGTATATATAGTATATATAGTATATATAGTATATATAGTATATATAGTATATATAAATATATATATATTATATAGTATATATAGTATAGTATATATAGTATAATATATATATAGTATATATAGTATATATACTATATATATATATATATAGTATATATAGTATATATAGTATATATAGTTTTATATTATATTATATGTAGATACTATATATATATATACTATAGTATATATATGTATTATAATAATTTTTAATATATAAGATGCATAGAGGACAGATAGTTTATATATAGATATATAGTTATATATAGTAATATATATATATAGTATATATACTATAATTATATAATATACTATATATATTATACAGTATATATAGATATATAATATATGTATAATATTAGATAGTACTATTAGTATAGTATATATTATTATATATATTATCTACTATATATAGTATATAATATATATATCTATATATAGTTATATGTATATTTAGTATAAATGAAATATATATATATATATATCATATAATATATATAATACTAATATATTATATTAGATATGTAGTCATAATATAAATAATAATAAATATAAATATATAATCTACATATATATATAGAATAGTTTAGATATAAAATTATATAATATTAATATAAAATAATTATATAATATAAATAAATATTATAATATAATATAATAATTATATATATTATAATATATAATATATAATATATTATATATATAATTTATATAATATATAATATATATATATAATACATATAATATATATAATATATATAATATATATATAATATATATTATATATATAATATATATAATATATATAATATATATAATATATATAATATATATAATATATATATATATATATAATATATTATATATATAATATAATTATATATATATATATATTACATGTACATATATAATATTATATGGCTGCGGGAGCCCGCAAGACTCACTCCATGAACTTATTTCTCAGGCGTTTATTTTTTTTTTTGATCCTTTTTTATTTTTTTTTGATCCTGGGCCGGTAATTTTTTTTTTGATCCTTTTTTATTTTTTTTTTGATCCGGCAGCCAGCTTTGGCCCGATTGTGGAGGGCCATCGAACACTTTTCTCCCACCCCACGCCGTCCGAGGCGGCAAAGCCACCCAAACCTATTCCTTCTAGGGTTTAGGCCGAAACTCAAGGCAACAGTCCACTTCTGAAACTTAATCAGTTTCATGATGTTGGGGTTGGGTCCGAGAGTCAAAGCAATGATAGGGGGGGTCGGGGTTTCTCCCAAACAGTTCAGGGGTCAGGGCCAGGGCAAGAATTCAGGCGGCGAGGACCTCATAGGCTGGGGCCTGGGGGTACCCCCCAAAAGGGGGGGGGGGGACCCAGGTCGCCAGCTTGAGAATCCGGCGGAGTACCCCAGGCAACCGGCACTGGAGGTGCAGCTCACGCTCAACACAACTCTTTAGGCTAAGTGCAAGCGATGGTGTTAGTCGCTGTCAGCTGTAGTTCCGGGTCCAGGCACCCTAGAAGAGGGTGGCTACAGCCTAAACAGGCCTGTGTGGGAATTTAGGGTTTAGGGTTTAGGGTTTAGGTTTTAGGGCTTAGGGCTTAGGGCTTAGGGCTTAGGGACCTGGACTTGGTAGCCCAGTGACCCTTGTTTTGGGTTTCCAGGTTCCCTTATGAAGTAACCCCCCCGAAAAGGGTGCCCTTAATTACAATAAGGTTCAAGGTTCCCTTCTAAAGTAACCCACCCCCCAAAAAGGGGTGCCCTGATTATAGAATATCCCTATGGAAGAATCAGTAGTGCCGCCGTTACAGACCTAAGCCCTAGAACGGAACCCTGGTTCGAGGCAATGCGCATGTGGGAAGAGGTGGAGACTACCACTACCATGGCGATCCGATTGGGCCCAACTGCGTGTACACCCTGGATAACTACACTGGCAGCGACCCACACAGCCTGACCATCGGCTACGCGCTGGACGGATATACAATCTTCGGTCGCTACAGCGAAAGTGGCCAGCCAGGTGCCTGTAGCTACTATTTTCTTCAGAACCCCAAAATGCAAAATAGTCATCCCTAAATTTGTCCTTGCAAGAAATAAGGTGTTTTATGTGTTGGGGGTTCTTCAGCAAATGGTAGAGAGTCTCCTTAGGAATACGCCCAGTGGCACCCTTTGCCTTTCTTTGGGTTCTGGGTTCCCTTATAGGGTAACCAACCCCCCAAAAAGGGTGCCCTTATTATAAAATGCTTCCTGGGCTACGAAGCATATGAAACGCAAGAAAAGCGCAACAAAAGCACTTGAGAGTGGTTCTGGAGGTATTGACACGGACCTGGACCTTTGCGGTGGCCATTCGCACGACAGCTATGGCTACCACTACCACCCCAGTGTTGAGACGCGAACTGGGTCTGGGGCGATGGTTACTTCCAGCTACACGGCCTTCTACCTTGGGCCAAAGAAGTGCTTCAAGGGACAGGCCGGCCTCGATCCACTTTTTGAAAACCCGCAAACCCCAAACTGCAGACCCTAAACCCCCAAATTCCTAAACCCTAAACCCTAATCCCTAAGCCCTAAACCCGAATCCCTACCCCAAACCCTCCAAATTCAACCTTGTAGGTGAGTAGCATCTCCAACTACTACGCGGATGCCTCGAAGCCATATGTGCAAAACGGCATGGACGTGGGCCAGCCCAACTATGACTCTTAGGTAGGACCTTGGGATATGTTTTTTTTTTTTAAATTCGCCCTTACTAAGCTAGGTTTGGGCTTAGAAGAAGTTCCTATCTCATTTTGGGAGTTTTTTGGAATTTCCTAGCTTAAGCTTAACCTGGACTGCAGTTCAGCAGTTCAGGGAGCTAGGCTCTGGGGAGTTATGTCTTGTCGTTACTTGGCTTACTTGGGTATTCAGAGGCTCTTCCTTAATGGGTTCAAGAGGGGTGGGCCCTCATTTCTGCTCCCTCCCCCTTCTTCGGATCTAAACCCTAAACCCTAAACCCTAAACCCTAAACCCTAAACCCTAAACCCTAAACGCTAAACCCTAAACCCTAAACCCTAAACCCTAGACCCTAGACCCTAAACCCTAAACCCTAAACCCTAAACCCTAAACCCTAAACCCTAAACCCTAAGCCCTAAGCCCTAAACCCTGAACCCTAAACCCTAAACCCCAATCCCTAAGCCGCCCTCAGCCCTTAACCCTTTTTGCAGAGGGTCGAGCCGAGGACAATTCGCTGGCCTCGACCCGCTATGACCCCTCGTCCCGCCGCTGGGGCTTACGGCTTGAGGTTTAGGGTTTAGGGTTTAGGGTTTAGGGTTTAGGGTTTAGGGTTTAGGGTTTAGGGTTTAGGGTTTAGGGTTTTAGGGTGCAGGGTTTAGGGTTCGGTGTAGGGAGTTTAGGGAGCCTAGAGAGTGTAGGGAGTCGAGGGAGTTTAGGGAGTTTAGGGAGCTGAGTTTAGGGAGCTCAGGCCAGCTTCCAAAGTTGTGGTGGTGGGTGGGGGCTATGCCACGCTTCTTCAGAGAAGTACTTGAAGAAGGGTGCATGGGTTTTAGGTTAAAACCAGCCAATAGCCCTCAACCCTAACCCTAACCCTAAACCCTAAACCCTTAACCCTAAACCCTAATGTTGTCTCCTGATTAGTGTGACCCCGCCCCCCCCCCCCCTCAACAAATGGCTCCCGCGCGGGGGGTGGGGGGGGGGGGGCAATTTGGGGGGGGGGGGGGGGCAATTGGGGGGGGGGGGGGGGGGGATTTGGGGGGGGGGGGGCGGGGGTCTGGCTTTATATGATTTTAAAAGGGATGAGTTTATATGAATTTAAAAGGGATCCAGATGATTTTAAAAGGGATGAGCTCGTATGAATTTAAAAGGGATCCATATGATTTGCAAAGGGGTGAGAGTGTATGAAATAAAAGGGATCCATACGATTTGAAGAGGGATGAGTTTATATGAATTTAAAAGGGATTATATGATGTTAAAAGGGATCCACATGATTTTGAAAGGGATGAGTTTATATGAATTTAAAGGGGATCCATCTATCCCAACCAAGCCAGCCCGCAAAAAAAAAAAAAATATAATTCCGGGGGAGCGAACTTTTTATGTTATACGGCATTCGGGCAGCTGCTGGACTACCCCCTTTGAAATTTGATTGCCTGGCCTCGGTACAAAAGCATTTTACAAGGAAATCTTAGCTTTGGGCTGGCGTGGAGACTGAAGATTTCAGGGCCGACAACCTCAGGCCTCAAGGTTTAGGAAGCCTCAGCTTAGGCCTCTGGATCCAAACCCAACTAGCCCGCAAAAAAAATATAATTCCGGGGGAGCAAACTTTTTATATTATACGGCATTCGGGCAGCTGCTGGACTACCCCCTTTGAAATTTGATTGCTTGGCCTCGGTACAAAAGAATGTAATAAGGAAATCTTAGTTTTGGGGCTGGCCTGGAGACTGAAGCTTTCAGGGACAACCTCAGGCTCAGTTCAGAAGCGATTTCTAGACAACAACGCCATTCAACAGCCTCGCCGAAATTTTGCATCGCCCGATTTTTTTTTCACAATTCCGGGGGTCCCCCTCAAATAGATCCCTCTGAATATTTTTTGGATGTTTTTTCGCAATTCCGGGGGCCCACACTAATCAGGATACAACATTATACCCTAAACCCTACACCTAAACCCTAAACCCTAAACCCTAAACCCTAAACCCTAAACCCTAAACCCTAAACCCTAAACCCTAAACCCTAAACCCTAAAAACTCTGAGCCGACCTACCTGTGATCCCAGTAGCAACTACCCATGACCCTCAAAGTAGGTTTAGGGCTTGGTTTAGGGTTTAGGGTTTAGGGTTTAGGGTTTAGGGTTTAGGTTTTAGGGTTTAGGGTTTAGGGTTTAGGGTATATTTAGGGTTTAGGGTTTAGGGTTTGGGGTTTGGGGTTTGGGGTTTAGGGTTTAGGGCTACGGGTTAACCGCCACACTTCTGGATTCCGTGTTCCAAGCCGGTTTAGCGTTCGGGGTTGCGGATGGGATCCAGGGTTTTATTGAGGGTGTGCATAAACAAGGTCTCCTTTCAGACGGAACCGCTGTCCATGGACCCTAAACCCTAAACCCTAAGCCCTCAGCACTAAGCCCCAAGTGCCCTATGGCCTGGATGCCTTAATCACATCAATGCTAGCATGGGACTAAGCCTAAACCCTAAACCCTAAACCCTAAGCCCGAAGCCCTAAACCCTAGACCCTAAACCCTAAACCCTAGACCCTAGACCCTAGACCCTAGACCCTAAACCCTAAACCCTAAACCCTAAACCCTAAACCCTAAACCCAATGTTCAGGCTTCGTTTGATCCGAAAGGTTTGAGTTTTTCCAAGATTCGCAGCAGTCATTGAAGCACCAGCAACCCTAACTCCCAAACCTTGACGAGGCTGTAGGATTGAGGCTTCAGGGCTTCTGGTGTAGGGCTTAAGGACATAGGGTTTAGGGTTTGGGTTTAGGGTTTAGGGTTTGGGGTTTAGGGTTTAGGGTTTAGGGTTTGGGGTTTAGGGTTTAGGGTTTAAGGGCTTGCGGTAGCCCCCATGCGGACGCAATGCCGAGGAAACGACTATGAGGACCTACGACCTTGCTGCACTATGAGCGACTCCTGGGCAGCCAAGGACATCGCCTTTGACACGACCGGGAACACAGGAGCCGTCGCTGGGAGTTTGTGGTTTGGGGTTGAACCCCCAACCCTGAACCCTCAACCCCAAACCCCAAACCCTAAATCCTAAACCCGAAACCCGAAACCGAAACCCGAAACCCGAAACCCTAAACCCTAAACCCTAAGCCCTAAATCCTATACCCTATATATACCCTATATTTTAAATCCTCAGCCCTAAACCCTTATACCCTATACCCTGAACCCTAAGCCCTAAACCATAAACCCTAAACCCTAACCTTCAGACTCGAGATCGCCTGCACTTGCAAGAGTTTTGTAGAGAATTGGGAGTTCACGAGAATAGGGGGTACCTTACCAGCCTCCGTTTAGAAGGGGATCCTACTGTTTGGGAGTCTATAACTAGGGTCCCTAATTATCATAAACCGCCAACTGTTGGCTGTGGTTTCTGATATCCACCATTGGCGCGTTCTGTATGCATATCCCGCGCGATTTTCGCAGGGCCCAAATGCCTACACCTTTTCTTCTGGCGAAGCCTACACCCTACAAAGCCCTAAACCCTAAACCCTAAACCCTAATTTTGAAACCCTAAACCAACCTCATATAGAACCTTAGTTGAACCTACAGCTTCTACGGGTCGTTTAGACCTAAACCCTAAACCCTAAACCCTAAACCCTAAACCCTAAACCCTGAACCCTGAACCCTGAACCCTGAACCCTAGACCCCAGACCCTAGACCCTAAACCCTAAACCCTAAACCCTAAACCCTTAGACCGAATGAGTTGAAGCTCCTCCACAGGAAGGGACGGGGCCACGGGCCGCGACGGCAGTTCCACCGGCGGCGGCACTGACACCGGGGATAAGTAGCCTGGCACCAGGTGGTTCGGTTTTTTAACGGTTTTTTTGGTATTTTACTTGGTTTAAAGGGTTAAAGGGTGACATGGGGTTTTATAGGGTTGATTTGTTTTTTGTAAGGTTTGTAGGGTTGATTCTGTTTATTGAGTTTAGTGTTTCGGCGTCACATGGTTGCGCGCACCCCGCCACACGGGACGTGTTGTGGTGTGAGTCCCTCGCAACCCGCCCACCTAGTCTATGACTTGGGATGTTCCCCCTTATACTTTAACAGTCCTTCATAGAGATTGTAGTAGGGGGTACTGGAATCCCTATTGAGGACGGTTAGTATAAGGGGGAACATCCCAATCTATGACTTTGGTGGTCGGTTTCAGGCTTACTTCGGGTTTCCAGGGGTTGCCTCCTCTTGGTCTGAAATTCGTGACTCGGTCTATCCTGGTTTTGAGTACCTCGCAACCCCGGTAGCCCTCGGTTGATTAGAGAACCCTAAGGCCCTAAGGCCCTAAGGCCCTAAGACCCTAAGACCCTAAGACCCTAAAACCCAAAGACCCGCAGCCACTCTCCCCCCCCCCCCCCCAAAAAAAAAAAATACAAAAAGGAATCTTTTCGATCCCAAGCACCCCACTGTGCAACGTTATGGAGTCCTTGCGGTCTCGTCGCCTGGGCGCACAGAGACGAGTACGAGTGTCCTCCTTGAAGGATCCTGGGTAATCACAATAGTTCTAGCCGGGGTTTAGTAGAGTTATACTAGGAATTGTGAGAATCCATGAAGCTTCAAGTTAAAAAATCATGCATGGATGGGCATGTCTGGTGAAAAGGCTGCGCCGGCCCTGGCCGAGGCGGCCGAGGAAGGCCCCAGTGGAGCAGTGGGCCAATGAGGGTCAGCCAGAATCGGGGGTTGAGCGAGTGGCTGCACTGGCGGCGCCTGTGAGCCAAAGCTACACCACTTCTTTTTTGCATCCAGTCTGCTTCGTTGCCGGAGGAGCATGGGCATTGCGAGTCGAAGCCAACACGAAGACTTGAAGAAACATGTCGGTAGAGGCCACAATGTCACAGTGCTCAGGGACTTAGACCGAAACCCATCACCTTTAACACCAACTACGTCCTCAACACCAAATCCTAACAAACCCTAAGCCCTAAACCCTAATCAGCCCCTGAACAGCTAAATCCCCAAATCCGAAACCTTCGTGACCCTTAAAAACCCCTAAACCCCTAAACCCTCGAACCCTCAAACCCAAAGCCCCAAAATACCCGAAGTGCGAACCCGACATAAATTCAAATCTCCCTGAACCCTAAACCATAAACCCCCAACAAGGTACCCCTAATTTCCTGAATCCCTAAACCCTAAACCCTAAACCGTAAACCCTAAACCCTAAACCCTAAACCCTAAACCCCAAACCCTAAACCCTAAAACCTAAACCCTAAACACTAAACCCCAAACCCTAAACCCTAAACCCTAAACCCTAAACCCTAAACCCTAAATTTAAGAGCCTCCGGCTCAAGCCGCCGACCCCGCTGGAGCATAGTTGAGACCCGCTCGCATGGAAGATCATCCCAACCTGCTCGGCAGAGTTCTGTGAATCGTTTGGGGGGGGGTAGGGGGTAGCACCAGGACAAGCTCAAGCTAAAAAGACATTGGGGGGGGGGGGGGGGGGGGGGGGGGGGGGGGGGGGGGAGGGGGGTCCCATGAAACACGCCGCCAGGGTCGGCGGACCCTAAACCCTAAACCCTAAACCCTAAACCCTAAACCCTAAACCCTAAACCCCCAAGAAGGGTACCACCATTTTCGGAAACCCCCAGATCTCCCGATCCCGAAGGCTGGGGAGTTGCACCGGCACCGACGACAAGGGCAAAGCCTGCCCACCGGAGCCCTTGCAGGGTTTAGGGTTTAGGTTTTAGGGTTAGGGTTTAGGGTTTAGGGTTTTGGGTTTAGGGTTTAGGGTTTAGGGTTTAGGGTTTAGGGTTTAGGGTTTAGGGATTCGGGATTCGGGATTCGGGATTCAGGGAGCAGGGTTAGGGCTTTGGGGATGTAGGGGGCTTGGGAAAAACCAGGGTTTAGGTTTTTAGTTTAGGGCTTTTAGGGAAGCGGAGTTTTAGGGACGGTAAGCCTTTGCTTTTTTTGGGAGAGGGCTAGCAAAAGACATCCGCTTGCGCCAAGACTTGCCCTACGTCGTTTTGGAGTCAAGTGGCAAACTGTATGTTGATCAGCAAACATCGGACGGCGCCCAAAACATCGAAAGTGACATGGCTGTTGCATAGCGGCAGGTGCCAAATCACGTTCTTGCCCAGTTCCCGAGGATTGCGCCACCCTGTCCCTGTCGATAACATGGTATACCCTCTGACCCCTCAACCCTAAACCCTAAGCCCTTAAGGCGACTTGGATGGGGTGGCTTCGTGCATGCGTGCTCCTCGTTAGACCCTAAACCCTAAACCACCAAACCCCTCTTGGCAAGCTCAGTGCCCTCCCACTCTTTAACTTTAGGGGCCCGGCGGAATGCTTTCGCCGGAAGTTGCTTCCATGTGCCCGGACGACCCACGCGTGGGAAGCCGGTGCTAACTTAGGGTTTAGGGTTTAGGGTTTAGGGTTTAGGGTTCGGACGTAGGGTATGCGGCGCGGGAGGGGAGGAGGAGCGGGGGGGAGAGGGAGAGGGGTGGGGGGGGTTATGGTTGCTTTCTGGGCTTCTAAATCCAAGAGGATGTCAGGGGTAGCGGAGGTGGGTATGTTCTTGTCACCCCTGAGCCACAGACCTGCACACCTTGCAAGCCCTAAACCCTAAACCCTAAACCCTAAACCCTAAACCGTAAACCCTAAACCCTAAACCCTAAACCCTAAACCCTAAACCCTAAACCCTAAGCCCCCAAACAAGTATCTCCTTGAGGACTACACCGCAGACAAGCCTTGCCCTCCGGGCTGCACAACGGTCCCCAACAGTGGTGACGATGCGGGTGACGATGGTCCCTTGCCGTAAACGATATCAGGGTTTAGGGTTTAGGGTTTAGGGTTTCATAATTTGGGGTTTCGGGTTTTGCGGTTGCATTTAAGGGTGAGTAAGGGCTCGTTCGGCAGTTTTAAGTTGTGGTGCTTGAATCTCAAGGCTTGGGGGCAAAAGGCCGCGGCTGTTGGTTTTAAGCCTAGGCTTCATCACTTCAGGGTTCGAGCTGCCTCATTTCTGAAACTCCCTGCTTGCGTTTCCAGGAGGAGGTGGCTCCACCACTGCTTCTCCCGCTTATACCTGGACGACCTCCAACACCAACGCCTACATGTGCGATGCTGCGCTGGACACCTCAGCCCGCGTGCTCGCATCTTGGCTTTCTTTAACCCTGAACCCTGAACCCTGAACCCTGAACCCTGAACCCTGAACCCTAAACCCTAAACCCTAAACCCTGAACCCTGAACCCTGAACCCTGAATCCTAAACCCTAAACCCCAAACCCTAAACCCTAAACCCTAAACCCTAAACCCTAGACCCCAGCCCGCCAAGGCATGTGGTCAGGCGGAGTATCCCGCGGGGGTGAACGAAGGTTCTGAAGCCACGGTTTCGTGCATCTCAGCTGCGCTGGAGCCTGAAAAAGCCTTTTAAGAGTTAAAGAAACCCCCCAGGATGGGAGGTATCTGGTTTTAGGGTTTAGGGTTAGGGTGTAAGGTTTAGGGTTTAGGGTTTAGGGTTTATGTTTTTGGGTTGGAAGTACCACCTCCGGAATTGGATTCAGGGCATGGCAGTTCGTGGCGTTGAGCCTTCAGCCTAAAACCCGAAAAGCCTCCGCAAGCCCTAAAGCCGACGAGCCCTGAAGCCCTAAGCCCCTCGAACCCTAACCCCTAACCCCTAACCCCTAACCCCTAAACCCTAAACCCTAAACCCTAAACCCTAAACCCTAAACCCTAAACCCTCAACCCTAAACCCTAAACCCTAAACCCTAAACCCCACAAGGCGCCTCAGGGACAATCGAGTGCTTTGTTTTCGCCTCCACCGGCAAAGTTGGCGGCAGCTGTGGGGGTGATCCTTTCCTGGAAGACCCCGGAGGCGCCTTTCCTTGCTAGGGTTTAGGGTTTAGGGTTTAGGGTTTAGGGTTTAGGGTTTAGGGTTTAGGGTTTAGGGTTTAGGGTTTAGGGTTTAGGGTTTAGGGTTTAGGGTTTAGGGTTTAGGGTTTTGGACTCAGCAACTCAAGTGCAATCGTTCACTGGTCAAGCAGCTTGTCAAGCGACGGAGACATTACGACGTACCCACCCGCCCATGTCCCACAACGTTGCCCACAGCGCTAAAGCCCAAGCCCTAAAGCCCAAGACCCCACTAGGCCCTGACCCCCCAAAGCACAAGCCCAGTAGACCTTGCACCCTGAAGCCTAAGGCCCAGCACGCCCAATTATTGTTTAGGGTTTAGGGTTTAGTGACCAAAACACAATGCCCACGAAATCTTGCACGACACCCGTGATTGTTTTGACAATGCCCGTGAAATTTGGACCTAAGCGCAATGCCCACGAAATTTTGCGCAATGCTCACGAAGTTTTGCACAATGCCCGCGAACGTTTTCGAGATTTTTGCAGAATACTGCTGAATGACTTTAAGGGTTAGAACAATGAACAACAAACAAACAAATAGATGAAGTGAATTAATATATCAATGTATGTATATCTATATATATATATATTTGAGGAAGATGTGTTTAGGGTTCAGGATTTGGGGTCTTTTCTTTTCGAGCCCTGGACTCTAAGCACAACTCCAAAAGGGCTTCAGCGACTGCAAATCCAGACAAGCTCTTGTAACTGGGGAAAGAGTGGGAGCTTGACACACCCCTTCCCCAAAGCCATATTTTGGGTGTTTGGGGTTTATTTAGGGTTTAAAGGTTTAGGGTTTAAAGGTTTAGGGTTTAAAGGTTTAGGGTTTATAGGTTCAGGGTTCAGGGTTAGGGTGCAGGGTTGAGGGTTGCAGGGTCTAAGCGTGAGGTTTCGGGGTGCGGGGCATCTTGAGACT